GCTACAAGTGCAAGCAATACCAAGAAGGTGTGGTGAAACTGATGCTGTAAATGTAAACAATACTAAGTAGGTGTGCTGAAACTGATGCTGTAAATGTAAACAATACTAAGTAGGTGTGCTGAAACTGAGGCTGTAAATGTAAACAATACAAGGAAGGTGTACTGAAACCGAGGCTACAAGTGCAAGCAATACCAAAAAGGTGTGGTGAAACTGATGCTGTAAATGTAAACAATACAAGGAAGGTGTGCTGAAACCGAGGCTACAAATATAAACAATACTAAGTAGGTGTGCTGAAACTGAGGCTGTGAATGTAAACAATGCAAGGAAGGTGTGCTAGAACCGAGGTTGTAAATGTAAACAATACTAAGTAGGTGTGCTGAAACTGAGGCTGTAAATGTAAACAATGCAAGGAAGGTGTGCTAAAAACCGAGGTTGCAAATGTAAACAATATACAAATGATGTGCTGAACTCGAGGCTGCAAATGAAAACAATATAAAGAAGGCGTATTGAAACCGAGACTTCATGGCAACCATATGTACTTTTACTCGAGAAGTTGAACTGTTGCTGTTTCTCTACCTGTAAAGTTGTTTACACATTTATTTTTAAAGTAATTTAACTAAAGATTATATAAGACATTTTTATAGTATTTTAAAAACTTCGCTTTTATGCCGCTGTTTGTTGAACAGCAATTGTACAGAAATGCTAAGTTTGTTTTTAGGTTATGTTAACTTTCAAATTAATTGTTTTGTGATACACATATTGTGCCATAGTCAGTAATTTTAGCCCCTCAGTGGCTCAATGGTAAACATGAAAACTTATAACGTTAAAAATGGGCTTCGATATGCATGGTGGGCAAATATAGCCCACTGTGTAACTTTGTGCCAAACAATAAACAATGTTAAACAATAAATATGTTTTTCCTGCTATAGCATTCAGTGCAAGGAGCTGACAAAAAAAAAGGGGGGGTGAATGACGTATCAACATAACTAGTGTAGCGATCTCAATATTTGGGATTTGACGAAACTACTGTTGGTTTTCTAATATTTCACCGACTTTCGTCGACTGGGCCGACAATACTGCTGGTTATCTCAGTGGTAGATTCCATTAAAACGTTTAAAAATTGTAAAGTTTTGTGTTAAACTACTTAATTATTTTTACATTCGAATTCGGTAGCTTATAACACCTTTATTTAAACGAAATAAAACTGTATAAACTTAGATTAGGTTAACTCGAATATCTCAGCGCCCTCTATCTTACTTCGATCGATTTGCAAGGTTAATGTACGATCGGAGATAAACGGAATTATGACGACTGAATTATCCGAGTTAAGGTCAGACCGAGGTAATCGGGAATCTCTCAGACTTTCAGAAAGTACAACGGAAAAATCCGAACGATTTTCCCTTTGACAGCTGAATGTGATAAACCTAAAGTATTGCACTCATTTTAATTTAAACAAATCACAAAATATATCTGAAATAATAATTTCGGCAACTTACAAAACATTTTGATATAAAAAACTATAGGTTTTTAGTTAATATTAGCTTTCAGTCAGAAGAAGGAAGAGTGAAACTAAAAACCAACCTGATAATCTGTTGTATTTTTTTTTTTTGTATATTTTAACTAATTGTTGTTGCCCATACTGGTCTTACGTTATAAGTTATAGACGTATATTTCTTGAAAAATTATAGGCCTAACGTTGGCAAAGTAATCTACATAATTTAGGTCACGTTAGGTGAGGTTAAGCTAATGTTTTGTTTCCATTCGTGGTTGGCCTAACTAAATGAATAACACACGTTTCAGAATTTTATTGAGGGCTACTAGTGTAATTAATTGTAGAATTTGATAGTGATACGACCACCAGACGTATATTTTCGTAATATGTAGGCCTACTCCTAAAACAGAGCCTAACCCCTCTTTCCCATCAATATTGCCTGGTGGCTAAGGTACATGACTTGCAACCTGGGGCTCCCGAGTACGAACACCATTACTAAACATGCTCGCTCTTTCAGCGGTGGAACGCTATAATGTCACGGTCAATCCCACTCTTCGATAGTAAAAGAGTAAACCAAGAGTTGGCGGTGGGTGCTGTTGACTAGCTGCCTTCCCTCTAGCCTATCATTTCTAAATTAGGGATGGCTTGCGCAGACAGACCTCGAGTAGCTTTGCGCGAAATAAAAACAACAACAAAAAACATCAGTATATTTGTCCATTTCAATTATCAGAGCATGAAATTTTTTCGACACTTGTCATTGGCCAATTTCGTTGTTTCATTTACTACAATCAGTGAGCAAGGCATTCCATGTAACATTGGAATGTGGCTATAGTTGGTTGTTGGTTTTAGAGTAAAGTCACATTTGGCTGCTGTTTCCACCATGGGGAACCGAACCCCGGATTTAAGCGTTGTAAGTCTGTAAACTTTCCGCTGTCCAACCTGGGGATGGAATGTGGCTATACGAAGTTTAGACTTAAAAATATAGTCATTCAGTCACATTTTAAAACAATTATTCTTTTTCTCTGTTGTTAAACATGGAAAAATCTTGTAATTTCCTGTTTCGTAAAACTAGTTCTAAATATGCATTTTTCTGATGTAAAGTTGTAAGTAAGTACGATATTGTTAATTTAGATATATTTAATATCCTGTCTAATCTTTATAACTGAATATTAAGTCATGATCAACTGCACTTTCTTATATAATTAAAACATAACTATTAAACATTTTATAGGTGGATTTATTAAATTTGTCAATATGCTCAAAGGGTGTCAAACACAATCAAACTTAACTTTGGTACAAAAAGAAGTAATTAAACGTATTTACAGGTAATAATTTATTGTAATAAGTTTAAGAAATTGGCCAGTGACACATGTCAAATATAAATTCCGTGCTCTGTTGGTTGGGATCGGCAAAAACGCTTCCCGTTGCTAGAGGGACATTTTCTTTGAATATATGCAAGGCCCTCTAGTGTTATGAGTTAAATGCTAAAAACAAAGTAGTAGTATATAAATTGTGGGTGAATATTAGACACATTCACACACCACCATTATTTTGAAGCTTGCTCTTACAAGTTCAGGTAAAAAGTATGTAATGTTATTTATAAATTTACCTCACTGAAGGAATGAAGTAATAGTTTATCTTGTGGAATTTAATTAAAAACTATTTAATCTTTAAGACGATCGTGTTTTTTTTTTTTCGTTCCCTCGCTCTGGATTTGATCACAAACATCATTAGTCCATAGTAGTCTACTCAGTTTTTACACAATCTATACCTACATACTTAAAATAAATAGTTATTCGTCGTTCAAGGCTGTCCTTGTACACCCCTCAAGAAAGGTAAAATCTTGAACTCGCCCTCTATATTTTCATGAAATAAGTGATTTCACTCTTAAACTCTTGTAAATCAATCTTATTCCATAAACCAATCACCTTGTTTAAAAAACAGCATTGTCTTAAATTGAACTTAGACTGCCTTTTAGAAATCTTCAACTTCTTACCTCTATTTATAGTGCCTTAGAAATAATCTACACTAATCGATTATGTCACTTTAATTGACGTTGAATCTTTTCGTATTTGTTTGAAATATCCCAGTAGTGTATTTGATAGATTGACATAAGGAAACGTTACTAACATAAAGAAATCATAGGCTTTTATTTTTTCAATCCCCCCTCCTTCCATGAATAACCTTGTAAACTTAAGTAAGATCGCTTCCCACTTATCCGTCTTTTCTCAAGATAAAACAAATAAAGTGGTCTAAATCAATCCCCCTAAAGTAACCTTTCCTTCCTTAGTTTCATCCTTGTAGCCCTCCTCCGAACTCTTTTCAATAAGTCAATATCCTTTCTTTGATAAGAAGATCGAAACTGTACATAGTATTCCAAGTGAGGCCTAACGGTAGAGATATTTCTGTTTTTACTTGTAAACAATATATTTACAAATATGCTCATAAAATTCTAATTATTTAACAGCTAGTAAGAGAGTACTATGCAAATATTCTTTTATTCTTTCATACTATTGAGTTTGATCCAAATTATTATAGCCCTAATGCAATACTTTGCACTTCCTTTTAAGGCATTGCATAAAAAAATTGATCCAAGTCATCCACAATAAAGCTAGAAAGTCTCAAGAGTTGAATGTTATCATGTAAATTTACCAGTTTAATAATTATTTCCATATCAGTATTATTAATGTAACCAAGAAAAAGCAAAAATCCAGCATTATAATTATGTTTTTATTGAACTTGGAGTCTTAATGTAATTGCAACAGTAACAATATTTTCTAAATCTTTATAAGTATATTGAATTATAAAAAAAAAAATCTGTGATAATTTGCTCCAAGAGACAAAATATGCTATATTAACGCTGTATAATGTTATTTTAGAAAACTAACCGAATAAAAATGTAACAAGTTTATATAGGTTCTGTTCCTATTAATAGGCTTTAGTGGGATGCTAATACTTGTACTAAATGGTCTTTGCTATTTTAACGAGATTTATTTGTACCCTAGCATTGATCTATCTTACGCATATATACGTAGTAAAGACGGTTTCGATCTCCTTAGATCATCATCAGGTTAACCTAAGGAGGTCTAAACGTTGTTACTTGTTTTATGTTTTTAAATAGAAGTTTTAATACCCATATTAGTAGTCTCTAGTGTATATATATTTACGTCAAGTGGGTTTTTGTCATCGCAAACTATCTTACGCGTGTTTTTCTAGCGTATTTGATCACGTGCTTATGACGTTTAACCAATCAGAACTTTTTACAAATAATATATGTACACATAGTACAATGGTATATAATAATAACATTTACATTGTTTTTGTTTGAAAGACAACATAAGTAACATGAAAACTGGGACAGTATAATTTCTCGCCACAGTAACTGAAAATGGCGCAGCGAGGAAATAATCTGCTTGTACATAACTTGTTTATTATTGCACAAGATCGTTCTGAGTTGGAGATATAACTGTGATATGGGTCCCGTATGTAGTGACGTTGACGATTAACGTTCGTTGACTTGTGTTTCTAGGCATGCTTATATACATCAAGTGCTAAAAATCTCAACGCATAAGGAATTACTTCATAAGTACACGACAAAGAAAAAAACTGAATCGAAAACAAGAAAAAATATTTATTTTGATAGCCACGACACAAAGGACTACTCCAAGTTGTAGCTGCTAAAATTGGCGCGCGATTTTATCAAAGCGACACTCTTGATATTGGTATGTAACGGAGCCAACGATTCGTCAAGGTGACTAACCGCTTATTTGTCTGTTGTTTCATGAACATTGTTGTGACGCGTTTTACGTGATACTGTTAGTTTTTTAAGGAATTGCTTGTACATTAGTATTCTGCGGTGATCAAAACTTAAAAAAACATAAAGTTATGATATGAAAGGAATCAAGTAAAATTTAAATATTTTGGAAATTGAGTGCTAAACATTGGCATAAACAGATATTGATGTTGAAAAGTGGCGTCGATGAAGGTAGGTTGAAAATTCGTTGTTTTTCATCGTTGAAGAACTTCCAAGTTCAAGAAGTGCGTATTACCTTTCTGGTTTCATGGGTGTATTTTAACTTTGAATACGGTTAAAAGTTTGTACTTTTATTTTTATTCCACTTCGTAAAATTGTATTAGAATTTTACTTCAACTTTAATTTTTACTAGATAAATAAACTAACTCTTTTGTCAGAATGGTTTCTGTGTATGCCATATAATATATGATATAAAATAAATTATAATATATTTAGTCTCCCTAACGTCTAACTACAGTACGTAGCATTCCCTGATCGGAAGTTGCATTAAATACTTGATAAAAACTTAGTTATGAACTTACAGAAGTGGCCTTAACTAATTGTAACTCCTTTCTTTAATCTAAACGAGCTGAATTACTTTGTTTGAAGACCTGCAGCTTGTTTTGTGCAAATGATTGTGGTGTTTTCTCTCTGCCTCTTTTTGTTTCTTTTCTTTTTAGTAATGGATATAAAGTTTTCTCAGGTGTACAACAAATATAAAATTACTTGTTGAAGTTTAAAAAAGTAAACACCCCATCCCACATAGCTAATATCACTATCAGTGTTTTCATGATTCTGGAATTATACTTTTTTTACGTTTTTATTATAATTTTTTTTATATGTTTTTATAAGCAGTACTGGAAATAATTGTGGAAACTGAATAAAATCCAAATATGATATTGCCTCAATATGAAGTTTTCTGTAAAAGATTTCATTCTAAGTATTCCAAAACATTACCAAGTAAATCCTTTTAAATAAAGTATTTTTCATGTTTCTAGAATTTTTTGAATTGTTTTAATTATTTCTGATTCTTTTATAATGTTATAAATTTCTTTGTTATATATTCTATATATTTTTCATATGTATATGATTTTTATATTTTGAAATATTTGTTAGGTATAGAATACTTTTATTTCCAAGTTTTTTCCTATGGATTTAAGATTTTTCTTACTTCCTTTGTAGGCTCCTTTTAGAAATACAGCAACGAGCACTGCTCAGTCAGAATCCAAAATGGCATCTCCTACCATTTCTCTGTCAGATCCAACAACATGTACTTCATCAGTCACGTCTGATCTTAGCCAGGATGAAATCTTCACCAAATGTTCCATCTGCCAGGACACTTATACCATTCCTAAAGTATTACCATGTCTTCATACATTTTGTCAACCTTGTCTTGAGAAGATACAAGAATCTCCAGGAAAGATTAAATGCCCACAGTGTCAAGAAGAGTGCCTATTGACAGATGGTTTAGCAGGTCTTTTGTCAAATTATGCAGTAAGTAATATTTTGGAGGCAAATGCATTGCAAGGAACTACCCTATGCTGTACTGGCTGTAAAACTAAAGAAAGCAATGTAGTGGCTCGCTGTATTGATTGTGCCAATTTCTTGTGTTCAAACTGTGTGATGGCACATCAGTTTATGCACTGCTTTGAAGGACACAGAGTTCTCACGATGGGAGAGTTTCAAAATAATAAAGACGATATCAAACCCAAGAAACCTATCTTTTGCTCGCACCACAAACTCAAGGCATTGGAGTTCTTCTGCCAGACCTGTAATGTTGTGATATGTAGTGACTGCACAATCGTGGAACATCCCCAGGGGATGCATAACATAGACCATTTGGAAGATATTGAATACAAGCATATTGAATATATGAATTGTTTGATTGAGGATTCCAAGGAGAAACAAACAGATCTACAGAATCGTTTAAAAACAGTTGAGCACTCTACTAGTAACATTCATGTACAATATGAAAAACTACAGAATGAAATAAAGGACACCCACCAGTTTTACTATGTGGCCGTAGAAGAAAGAAAACAAGAAATTTTGAAAGAATTAGATGATGTCTTCAACTCAAAAATGGTTTCTCTTTCAATGCTTGGACAGAAACTTCGTGATAACGTTAATAAGACCCTTGAAATATGTGACTTCATGGAAAAACTCTTGAAGTTTTCCAGTAACACAGAAATACTTCTTTTTAAGCATTTATTGACTTCACAATTTCAGAAAATTGTTGAATTTAATCCAGTTGTTGGTTTGGATGCATCTGAGCTTGAATTTGTATCTAATTATCAGGCTATCCAAATAGGGGTGCGGAACACCTTTGGCTATCTTCAGCATAATTCAGGAATGCAAGTCCAGCCACAGTCTATTACTAGGTCAAATGGTGTAATTGGATCAGAACGATCCTCTCAAAATGGAAACATGCTTGAGCCAAACATAATTGCCAAAAGATTTAATTCTGCTAACTGTTTCAGTCCTTTTCTGACTAATCTGGGAGATTACATGAAGTGGTCAAGTATCCCTTCTGACATCTTTCACAATGGTACTGACTCCCCTTCCATTTCCAATGATCCTGTTTTTGACTTGTCATCCAAATTGGTTAATTCAAATATGTTTCCTTTAAAATCCCAAATGAAGCGTCAGAAGATGATTTACCATTGTAAGTTTGGGGAGTTTGGAGTAATGGAGGGTCAGTTTACAGAACCAAGTGGTGTAGCTGTGAATGCTCAGAGTGATATCATAGTAGCCGACACCAATAACCACAGGATCCAGATCTTTGACAAGGAAGGTCGGTTCAAGTTTCAGTTCGGAGAATGTGGGAAACGAGATGGACAATTGTTATATCCCAATAGAGTTGCCGTTGTAAAGGTTTCTGGTGATATTATTGTTACCGAGAGAAGCCCAACACATCAGATCCAGATATACAACCAGTATGGACAGTTTGTCCGCAAGTTTGGAGCCAACATCCTCCAACATCCAAGAGGTGTGACTGTTGACAATAAAGGTCGTATTATCGTGGTGGAATGCAAGGTGATGCGTGTTATCATTTTTGATCTTTTGGGCAATGTTCATCACAAGTTTGGATGTTCCAAACACCTGGAGTTTCCCAATGGAGTTGTTGTTAACAACAAGCAGGAAGTATTCATCAGTGATAACAGAGCTCACTGTGTGAAAGTGTTTAGCTATGAAGGAGTGTTCTTGTGGCAGATTGGTGGAGAAGGAATAACCAACTATCCCATTGGTGTGTGCATCAGTCCTCTTGAAGAAATTGTGGTGGCTGATAATCACAATAATTTCAACATTACAATATTTACACAAGATGGACAGTTGGTCAATGCTCTGGAAAGCAAGGTGAAGCATGCCCAGTGTTTTGATGTTGCTGTTATAGATAATGGTTCTGTTGTATTAGCAAGCAAGGACTATCGGCTCTATATTTATCGTTTCTCCTAAACACAAGGAATTGGCATGTAATGGAGGCTGACTGTTCTCAAGAATATTGGTTGGAAGGTTTAGCTTGGTTCTCACATAGTGATATTTGTTTTATCTACCAGTAGGTATTGTCTGTAAATAAACTACTTTCTCTTTAAAATGTTTTCCCCACAGAAGATGAACTTACAGCTTTTTGATCACAGATTATTTTTTTGAAAGAACTATATTCACAAATTTATAAAATTTTGTTGTTGCATTTAAATTGTTGGATATCCGGTTGTTGAAGAACCTTGATATTCTCATGGTTCTGTTTTTTTTTTTCTGTTTCTGATGTCCCTAGTCAACAACTTGCACGGGAAGACTGCTGCTGGTATATTCCTGTGTCAAGTCATTAAGAGTCATTAATATCATTTGTTAATTTCCTTACAGGTTTATATTATTTATTGTAAACTAACCTTTTAAATCATGAAATTGCTAAGTTTGCTTGCAAGAGGCTGTGAACTTGATTGGTGGGGCCACATGTTAAAAACTTTTCTCTGAATGTTCTTAATGTCCAGTTCATTCAGGAACACTCAAGTGCAGCTAAAGTGAATATTTTTTTGAAATGGAAGTTGTGATTTTGTTTATGAACAGGTCCTGTAGCCAGGTGAAACTGGAGTATTAATGATTTTGATTTTGTGCCAATTCTGTTAATTATTAATGTTGAAAGCTGTGTGTTTTATCTTATTTATTCTGTTTAAAATGCTGCATTGTTACAATAGTTATTCTACTTAAATTAATTCCTGATTCCAGGTATTTAAAATAATGAATTATGCATCCAGAGTGTACTAGTCACATTCCTATCTGTCTCAATGACTTCTTGTCATTCTTAACTGTGTTGGAAAAATCTTTAACAGGACTCATCTTTTTCCTAACCATATGAACAGCTCTTTACAGTATGTAAATTTTTTCATATGAATGGATAATTTTTTTAGGGAGAAAAACTATTTTTATAAGTTTTCCTTCTCTGTCTCTGTGATTATTCTTGTGACTCAAATTCTCTGTATATTAGTGTACATTTCTCTTGAATAATTTAAGATTAAAAATTTAAACTTTGCAAAACTTGCAGGCTCATCATTTACCATTTTGCAGGGTATATTTAATGAGTAGAATATTAAATTCAAATAAGGACAATCTCTTGAATGGATCATTAATTTGTTTTTTGTTTTATCTTAATGTATTTACAAACAGCTTCTATACTAAAAGTTATTTAAAAGATTTGTGTGAATAAATCTTAATGCTTGCTAAATTAAATTTGAGCAACATATGTGTAGCATGTTTCTCACATTCCTGTTAAGTGTAAAACAACTTGAATGAAAATTCAGTATTTTGCTGACTAAGAGTGTTTGAATTTTTTATAAATTGCCAAACAATTCAGGATCTTTTACATTTAATCTGAAAAATATTATTTAATAGCAATGATAATAAAAAAGTTTTCTCAAAGATTTGATCTAGCCTTGCTTAGAACCTTATGTTATTGAATGTCAGGAAATGAGGCATTCACATACATTTCATAGGATAGTCAATTTAAAATTATTCACAAAATGATTAAAAAATTCCCTTTAAAAATACTTATTTATTCATGTTATTTGTTCCTTTAAATCACTTCCTCTGAAAAGTTGTATTACCAAGTGTGATTTAAACGGGACATGCTGATGCCGAAGTGGGATAGAATCATGGCGTTGAAGATGAAAAGATTACAAGTGTTTATTATGATCTTGTGACTATGGTGATCTGTTTGTTGAACTTTTTTTGTTTAAAAATATGCGATTATTCTGAGCATACCAAGATAGTGCTCAATTCTAGGGTGAGAAAAATAGTTGTGAGTTATTTATAATGTTACAAAAGTTTCTTGTTGAAAAAACTGAGAAAAGCAATCTTAAAGTGAACTATATATTTTTAATTGTCTTTTTACCTGTTAGTATATCTGTAACAGTTTAAAACAAGTGTATCTTCTCTCCAGTGAGATTCTAGCTTTTGTAGTAAACCAATTTATTTTGCAATACATTTACACCAAATTCGTGTGAACTTTTAATCTGTAAAAATAGTTAACATGTTTTTAGTAGCTTTGTTCAATGTGATTCCATTTACTACTGTTTTATTAAATTGCTCTGTTTTATAATGATAATTTGAAATTGATTATTTATGTGTTGAAACAACTGACAGATATATTCCTTGTTCTTCTGTGTGGAAGGTGAAGTGTGTTTGTTTTAAATCTATTAATTTTTGAAAAATTTGCTTTTAGTAATAACTTATTTCACTTAATTTTTATCTGCACAATGGCATAATGTTCTCATTATTTACATTTGAGATTTTCTTCACATTATCCCACAAGGAAATAACTTGAATGGTAATGCATTTTGTATTTATATCTTGGAGAAACTCCTTTTGTGGAAGCCGTTTGTTTATTTTTACTTTCAATAAAAATTATTACAAAACTTTTTTATTATTGTTTTTAATTTATTTTATTTTGAATAAAGATTTGTCCATGTAATAAAATTAATTTCTAAACATTTCAAATGAACTTGAATATTTTATGATCTAACTAAGTAAAAAATGACTGGCCATTGCCAGACTGTAGTACATTATATTGGAGTTCAAGTTACTAATAGCATTCCCCTCTGTTTTTTGTTTTTTTTTACTTGTACCAAAATGTTTGCCAAAGAAAGGAAAGATAACTACTAAGAATGCTTTGTCTTTATTGGTATTTTTCTGAAAAAAAAATCTCTGGCTTCCACATGTATTTAAATAAGGTGCTTTTCAACAATGGGACCTGGATCAGCATCTCTTAGCTGGTATTTTGCTATTTGAAACAAAAGTCTGAATGGTGTATTCCAGCTGCTACTCCATTAGTTCTGTGTCAGTTTGTTCAACTTTGATATTTGCAGTGAAGGGTTGTTTCTACTTACTCCTGCTAATACAATGAGAATTTTATTGACATATCTGGGGAGTAATAATTCTGTTTTGAGGTGAATTACAGTTTTAATAATGACACTTCTAGTTAGCAATTTGTGTCAGGTCAGACTAATGGTCCAAACCACAATGTACTTTCATCAGTATTTATTTATTTTTTTAATCTAAAGTGTAGTATCAAATCTGCTTTTACTCAGAAGTTCCCTGAATATATTGTAAAACTTAAATGCTGCAAATTTTTATTTCCTTGAGTGTTTTTAGTGATAAGGTGTTGCTTGAATGTATTAGTACTACGTTGAATAAAGTATTTTTGTTTCCAATTCTTGGTGGTGTTTCCTACCATTTATTGCACAAATAAAAAAAAAAGTAGGAGTATTCTTAAGTGATATGTATAATTTCATAAGTATAATCTTTTTTTGTAATTTATAATTTTAAAATTTTCTTTTTATTTTCATTATGTCACTTTTTTTTTGGATATCTTGTACTTGTATACTTTTCCAAGAATGTAGCCACTGTGTGTTTGTAGGTCAGAATTTGTCTCGAATGTTGTTAGTATCATAAGTGTTATCCTAGTGAGTATGTGATATTAACGGAGGATGTAATAGTTACACAACTACATCATTCATGGATTCTTCATTGAAGCTGCACATTTTAGTAAGGAAAATAACAATTTGAAAAGTGAAATAAATAGCATAAAATGTGTAGAATTAGATTTAAGTTTGAAGAATGAGACCTAATAAAATGAAAATAAATCTTTATTTGCAACAAAAACGAGTGGATAAAATACAAACTGACACAGAGATCTATTCTAGCAAAGTAAGATTTGGTATATTATGTTGGAGTTCTCAAGGAAACCTGAATAAGACAGACTGTATAACTATATACAAAACACAATAGCGTCAGAGCACACAAGTTATGTCATTGGCTATTCTCCCAGAAAAAAAAAAAGAAGCATAATTCCTGGTGTCACGAAACCTGCCTCCTAGTTGAAGCTCTAGAAAAAGTACACAGTTGAATAACCTATAACAATGAGTAACCAGAAAAATCTGTCGTTAAACCTGTATGAATGAAACAATATGAAAGTTTTAATGAACAATAAATGTTCACCTGTCTACATATACAAAAAGAAAAGAAACGTATGCATCACAATACGTTTGTCTTCAAGCTGACTTCTAAGATGCAATTATTAAAACAAAAAATAATGATGTACTGGTTACGTGTCTGTTGTGGCTTGCATTGTCATAGTAAAACACCTAGACATGCAAATGTTAATATTGCATTAGGTAACTTGATCTGATCGGAAGTTAATATCAATTAAACAATCCCAACACATAGTCAAACACAGAACCCTTTAACAAGAACCGAAATAACTGTGAATACCATTACATAATACAATACAAAACCCTTAAAGATAATTAATTACAATAAATGCCAAAGGCAGTGCAATAAATACATTATCAAATAATAGTGTCTTAGATAAACTTTTCATAATGAGCATCCAACTTAATACATGTACAGAGAAAAAACGCCTATTTAACAAGGAAACGCAACAGTTGTAACAACTTCGAATGTTACATGACAAGATGAAAAACCTTTAGTTGCTGATTAAGAATAATATATTTATCATTTGTGCAAAGAATAGAAACTAAAGAAAAGTATAACTATTAACGTTATCGATAAAGAAGAGTAGTGCTTATATATGATTTCTTGTATACGTAAATAAGAGATCAAACGTTGAAAAAGCTCGTAGTGTGCGACACTCACATTCAGTTGGATGTTACAATATTTACAACAGATTCTTTAGGGTGTCTGTCGACCATTTGTTGGTAGATGTGATCTATTCGGTGATTGCTGTGGTCAGGTACCTTATATTTTTAGTGGTTTCAACATAAACCTGGTGAAGCTTTCATGTTGTCCTAGACTATTGTTACGTCTCCGTTTGTTAATTGATTTTTTCCGTAACTTCGTTCCGAGGAAAT